CCTTACAATAGCATGGTGCCAGCCTTGCATCAACAGGCTGCTCAGCCAAGATGAACAACTCCTGTGCCCTGAACCACCAAAGCCCAAACCCAAGGCCAATGGGTAGTCTTTGAAGATATGGCCCCCTTTTATTTTACCCCACCCCCACCCCACATAATGGAAACCCTGTTCTAGGGAAGATCAAAAGGGGATTCCGAATTTTCCAAAATGCCTGTGTGTTTTCAGGGCCGTCAAACTTCAAGAGCTGCCAGGACCTCTCAGAAAGCGTTCTGAAGCGGGCTGGGGCTCAGCCACCTCTACTACATGGAATCCTCCAAACATCTGGCCCACCGGGAACACCAAACTCTAAATCCTAAGGCCTAAACGCCTTCAGCTCACACCATGCTCCTCGCAACCACCAGTGATCTCTAGATCCTAAATCCTACGGTAGGGGCTTGACCGATTTCCAGCATACTGTGATGACGGTGGCTACCAGGGAAGGAAGAAGCGGAAAAGAAACGGAAACTGCTAGTTGGTTGAGGGTCATGTAAGGACTGCTACTACCCTGATCACGCGACAAGCTGCCTAAACAGTTTAACACACTTCGAGTACATATTTGAAATTCATATGGGGACCCCAATCACAACCGAACCGCCCTGCATCCCAGGCGCCATCGCAGCTTAGGGGTGCGGGGAAGTGCTCAGAGACCTGCACCCAGAAAGCAGAAGGTCTTCAGCATTTAGGGCCCAGAATATACAAGGGTTGTACAGCTTTGTGTTCAACCTCTATAGAGCCGGGCTTCAGGAACCTGCCCTGATCCCCTTTGCTCTGCTTCGATACCGTATCTTTGCTTCCTTCTTGCGGGAACTAAGGCTTTCCGTGAAGGGCCCGGAAATGCAGAATTGCGCTCATGTGGAAAAGAGGGACTCCCACAATCTCCTTACAATCCGCGCAACTCTACCAGTTCCGAGAGATACTCCCTTGTAGGGGAATCCCTCAGACACCGACCCTGACTTGACCCCTGACCCTACAACATCTGCTCTACTAGCAAGCTCCCTTACTTCGAAGCATTAAGGCCTCTTCTGCATGATTGGGCGAGCACAGGCCACAGGGTCGGCACTTCAAGGCAGCTGCGGGGGCTGCATTGGCCTACCTAAGTCCTAGCCTTGAACCCAGAACCCGAGACCCCAAGACCTCAAGTCGCATGCCCCTGTGGCCTCCGCTAACAAGTCGTGGCAGGTCTCCGCCAGCATCCCAAGCCTCTGCTAAGCGGTTCGGGGGGTCTCCAGGATTTAGAGCTGCTGCAGCTTGAACTCGGCTTTAGCGATGGGATTTCGAGGGTTAGGGCTTGGGTTTAAGCCCTCAATCCAAAATCCTGCGACCTAGGTCCTGCCTGATATTCACGGTATGCTACGAAGGAGGGCCCGAGTTGTCGACTTTTGGTGTTGGTGTTGGGTTTAAAGTTGTAGGGTTCACGCTTTGGACGTTCTCAGGGTTTCGGTATCAAGGTGTTCGACCTTGGTGATTCATCCATGCTACCCGCACAGCTCCCGGCCATCTGCGTGCAAAGTTACCGCGCCTCTGACTCCCTATACGTGCTACAGCTCTCCCCTGAGCCATGCACGGCTTGTGCACTTGGAACCTGGTGGGAACCCCGCGTCCTCAGTTCTTCTCCCAAGGAAACCAGTGATTAGCTCACATTATGCCAAATATGTATGGTGACATCCCTCCGCCCTGAAGAAGGTTTATGGTATAATGCTCATTATGGTCTAATGGTCCATTTAACAATGTTCTGACATACCCTGAGACGGCACCCTGAAACCAGAGACACATAATCATGCAAGCAACGAGGAGGTCGGTTGCTGAAAGTCATCCGGCAGAAAGACGACCCTGACCAGGAATTCGGTTTCTCGGCCATCTGGCCCGGGGCCCTTCAACCACATGAAAGGTGTATATGGCTTAGCATGAAGGATGTATGGACGGCATGAAGGGTTTATGGCCTTAGTGTCTTCTTGATATAGGTTTGGGGGAATTTGGGTTTGGCCTTCAGGTGAAGCTTGGATTCCAGGGTAGCTTCAACTAGATTTCTGCATGGAATCCGAATGCGTGTTTACCCGACCTCCGAAAGCAGGGCCTGAAAGCTTCAGCTGTTGAAGGCTCAGTGGCTTCTCCCAGCATCCGAATTCAAGCTACAGGCAACTCTAAACCCCTGAAAACACCTCGACCCCTACCCCCTGACATCCACAGCTCCTAAACCCCAAAGCCTAAATCCCAAAAGCCTAAAACCCCTGCAGCATAAATGCCTGAATTACTCAACCCCTCACAGCCGGCCTAAACTCGACGTTGAAGCGTCTGTAGTAGTCCTTTCAGGCTTGGCCCATTGAGTCGGGTTTAGGGTTTAGGGCAAAAGAATTAGCGAGTAGGATTTTAGGGCTCAGGGCTTAGAGATTAGCATTTGGATTCAAGACTTAGGGTTTAGGATTCAGTCTGTATATCATGGACAATCACGTCACACAGCCCGTTGATGGTTGCGCCCATGTACTGCATTTGAACAAGAAGTGTCCGTTTGGTAGAAATTTGTACTGGTGTAGGCGGGGTAATGCCACCATTCCTGCAGCCTTCTGGGGCTTGGCCTCCATGGGTGAAAGCTCGGGGCTGAGTTTAAGGCTTAGCGGCAAGCATCGCTCTTCGATGAGGAATAACTTAGGACCCTCCGTCGAAAACGGGGAAACATCCTAGTGTGAATTTTGGCTTCGCATGCGCTGGGTTGAAAATTGGACCTCACCCAGCCCCGGTTGAAAAAGTGGATTGCTCCGAAGGTTCGAAGGGGGGCTTGAGGCAGAGATAAGATCCTTCGCGCATTTTTCCGTGCAGTATGCTGTTCTCGTCGCTGCGACAATATTCTTCTTGAGCCGTTCCTGGGCGGGCATTCCCTAGTTTTGAACAGCTCCAAGAAATTAATCGTGTACTCGCTGAGCCAAAGGCCGTCAGAACTTACATGAACTCGCCTCACTGTGGCATTTTCATTCCAGTCACTACCTTCACTGCTAAAGAGCGCCCAAAGCCCACCCTGAACCCCGCCTCAAACCAACCAAAAAGCAGCGTTCCTTGCAAACGTCAAACATGCAAGCTGTCCTGGTTGGAGGTTGTGAAGCTCAGAACAGCTGGGGCCTAGAAAGCAGTGCTTTGAAAGCCGGGAGTTTGGGGTCTGATCATCTTCTTGGTCGTCGCATGTCCAAGCTGTAGGGCCGTTGGCTCTCGGGCTCGTCAGGGCAGTTTTGTTTAGGCTTCCTTCCCGATGCTATTACAAAAGCCTAAATTGAGACCCACAATACGAACTTGCGGGCTATACGGGGTACCCGTAAGAGTGCCATCTTTTTAGGAGTGGTCCCCAGAACCATAGCCCCTAATATTCTAAGCCTTGTACAATGAGCATGGCCCATGTAAGCAATGACATCCCTGAAGTGGCATCCAAACCCTGAAGCCTCACACCTGACTCTGAGCCCCCAAGCCTAACCTGAACCTAGACTTTAAGCCCTGAACCCAAAGAACCCGCCACAATCTCCCAAAAGCCAGCTCGGGGCCGCGCCCCCAGGAAGGGACCTCCGGAAGCAGCGGTGAAGCTGGGCGAGACGCTTGCCTTCCAACTTTAGGGTATAGGGGTTAAGGATTGGCATCTAGGACCCTTAAGGGCTCTGGGATTCGAGGCTAGGGTTAAGGAGTGGGGTTTAGGGATGAGGGGTTACATGGTTGGTTGGGGGATTTGAGTTTAGGTGTGAGGGGTGGTTCTAAGCAGCGCGTTAAGTCCTGAAGATGATCACATCCTAGGAGTGAGAGATTTGGGGAGGCTCCATCAAGCGTATGAATCGTAAACATCCGGACACGAGCTCGCTGGCTGGGGCTTCACGGGTTTTGCGCATGTGTGTTTCGGCTCCGGGGGTTCAGACGTCAAATGACCTGGTGTGCCTCGCTTGTGTTTCTGGCTTCAGGTTGGAGGAATTAGGGTGCTGGAAGTCAGGTTTCTGGGGGGAACGAAAGCCGGGCCAAGTGCCAATATAAAGAGTTCAAGATTCATGGAGGTCACTATGGAGTACTGTAATGATACTTCTTGTAACAGCTGCAGCACTGTCGCAACTGCATAGAACAATTCTGTATCCATAGCCAAAAACTGAGTCAAGGACCCCTTTGCAGCATATTACTTGGAACCAACAGATCACATGTCAAAAGCACATTCCTAGGTCACCGCAACGATGGAAGGGAGTGAAACTCAAAAGTCTGTTCCAGGAATCTACGGGTCCAGATTTTCGGATTTTGCAGGCTTTGTTTGCACGTTCTTTCCCTGTCAAGGTTGATAATCCCTGCCGCTAGTCGAACATAGAGCATAGGACTGCACTCGCCTGCGCAGCCCAGCACCCTAGCATGCTGAACCCTTGCTGTAATCCCGAATCCTTAAACCCTGCTTCGTTTTTGCTACCACAGGATCAGGTGATACCAAATTGGAGGTGTCCAACCTACCTTCTCAAGCCACCCCAGAGGGCTCACAGCCGGAACGCGCCGACCAGCTGTGCCAAACTCCTTTCCCAGATCCTCCAATGCACCTGCGTCGGATGGTGCACTGGAGCTTAGCTTAGATGTTGACACTAATTTTTGTCTGGGTGGTTTTCCGAGGCTTCAGAGCATAGGGGTTCATATATCTCTCATGAGCTCTGAGGTAAAGGAAATGTGAATCTGCTCCTTCAAAGAGTTTAGCTGGGATCACAAAACAGCCCTTGACTTCTGAAACGTGCAAACTTTTCATGGGATTGTCTGTAGGAATGCCGAAGAACCAGAGAGCGGTGAATTCTTTGATGGCCAAAGAAGGACAGCACAAGAATCTTGAGAAGAATCTTGTTCTGGAAGTCCAAAGCCGACACTTAACTTATATGGATTCAAAGTGGACACTTTCCTAAACCTAGCACATATGAACCTAAGTCCTAAACTCTACAGTGCTTCTCGTCCCCTCCCTCCTTTAGCCTAGGCACCCAACAGCTCCCGTGTGTGACTGCGAAACGCACCCACAGCAGCATTCTCCCCGACCACGGCGGCGCCGTGTGTCGTCCGCCCGATGAAAACGTGAAGCTGGCAGCCGCCAATCTTCCCCAGTTTCTCGAAGGCGTTGCGCAGCACGCTTTTGACCTAAGCGCAAGGTAGCGATTCAGGCTTCAGAGCATGATGGCTAGTGCGGCTTCCTGCCAACAAACTACCGGACACTTGGGATGGGGCATCCCAGACTCTAAATGAGGCCTAGTCTCGGTGGGCCACGACTCTAGCTGGGAGGCAGACATGTACTTCCCAAACTCGACCCAACCCACGTCCAACATGCAGAGGTGGTAGGCGCTCTCGGGCGGCTTGTGAACCTTAACAGCAGTGTAACCGTAGTAACACTAGCAATAGCAGTAGCAAGAGCACTTGCAATTGTAGTAAAAATTTTAGTAGCAACAGAAATGGCAATTGTCGGGCGCTTGTTGGTGGATGACCTTTGCGGCTTTCTGGCTGCTTTGGGTGGTAGGGATCCTTCTCCTGAGCTTACTGAATGCCTATAAGACCCTATAGCAACAGCAAACACCCCTGAAACACCATCGAATGCCATAATCCTGCTCGGAAGCCTGCTTCAGCAGCTCTACAGGCGGATCATCCCGCATATCCTAAGTCTGCAAGAAGCCAATCACAAAAAGGTCAGGGTTTAGCACTTAGGGCCACACGGGAGTCTCAAAAGTAAAGCCCTCCGCCAACAGCCTAGGCCTTAAATCCCAAAACTGAATCTCTAGACGGCCCAGTATCCCAGCGCAGGAGCCGCATCTTCGCATTATTCCGCTGCGCGTTCCATCCCACCATGCGGAGCACCTAACGTAGGCATTGCAGGGACAGGATGTGCGTCAGGGTTTAGGGGTTCAGGGCTTCTAGGGTTTGAGGGATCAAGGGTTTTGGTTCAGGCTGTAAGGCAAAAAATCACGCATGATGTAGGGTATAAGCCCAACACGAAATGCAGAGCTTAGGCAAAAGATTGGGTGAGAAGCTCAGAAGGGACCACACCTCTAGGATGCTTTGCTGGCCAGGCCATCCAAATTTAGCTCCATCTTGAGTAATTCGTATTCCTGCTCCCCCAAACCTCCTCCGTGAAGACACCTCATGACACTAGTCCTAGGAAGCTTAGCTAATAGCACTCATGGGTGTGGACCCTACTGTATATGATGTGGCATTAGTGCGTATATGACCACGTAGAGATAGCCCCTCTATGACCACTCTGCTTACAGAATCTGCTTTTCAAGCAACCTTCACGTTGCACATCAGGATAACGAGAAAGACGAGGATGAGACTGAGGAGAGACTTGAAACCTTGGGCAGTAGACCCCAAACTCTAAGCCCTGAAGCGTAAACCCTCATCCCAGATCCAATTCCCGGCCGCTAGGCAAGCTTCAGCACTCATAACTTCTTCGCATTCGACTTCCACAGAATCTACCACACTTCCTACACCCCAAGAACAAGTTGTTCTGCTAGAACCAGACAAACCCATACATGCTAAACCCTAAGTCGCCCGGAACTACATAACCGAAACCCTGAACCCCAAACCCCTAAGCCATTAGCCCCTTCTCACCTCGTTTGCGACCTCCGTGGCAGTCACATTGTGTCCGGCTCTTGCTGGCGCAATGGCGCTCAAACCCAACCCGGTGCTGGCCTTAAAGGGACCAAGACTTTCAAGGGTTCACCGTTCAGGGCGCTTGGGGTTGGGGATTCCCTTCATGACTCAGCTTTGGCCTTTAAAGTGCTAGGATTTTGCAGTTACGTTTTGGTGATCAAGGGTGTAAGGTTCGTAGAATTGCCGTTAAACGACGGAATACTTTCACTTGTAGCCAAGGCCCCAAATCCCAGAACCCTAACTCCACCCCATATCCTCATCCATCAAAAAAGACAAGACCCATGAGTGCTGCGGACTTCGGCCAAGCCGTGTTCTAGCCACGCTAGTTTTGGGCGGATCTCTATTGAAACTCTGCCAGGTAGTGATCCCCAATGCTGTGACTGCTGCGATCAATGCACAGAATTGAAATACAGAACACTGGGATTCTGCTCCTCAGGCCCCAGCCATAAACTGAAAAACAACAATCAATAATGCGGGGTCTATAAACCCAAAACCTGAAACAAGACCCTAGACCCTTAGACATTAGAGCAACAACCCTAAACCATGAACCCAAACATCCAGCACTAAAGTACACAACACCGATCTAGCCTTTGATCCAGGGGCTGCCAAGAAATACCCTTACCCCTTCAGCCCCCAAACCCTACAAGCAAAACCATCCATACACCACAACCCACGGCCCTTAACCCAAAACCCTCTACAGTTTTTTTTCGGGGCCAGGTCACGTCCAGGATCCTCAACTTGCCCGCAGGCAGAGAACGCAAAAGGCGAGCTCCAGGCTCCCAGCCGAAGCCCTGGGAATCACGCACCGCGCCCGGCAGATCGACGGCCAGGCCTTCTTGGGAGCATTTCGGGGCCCAAAAAAGGGAGCTTGTAGGGACTTTATTGGGATTAGATGTAGGGTTTGAAAGTTTGGGTATAAAGCACTTCGGGTGCAGAAGGAACCTTCTGATGCAAGTCTTCTCTGAAAGTTGTTTGTCTGCTGGTACTTTCTTTATGGTTTTCTTGGGCTTTAACCCCAAAACTTGGTTGACAGCTGTAGTTGGCCCCTGGTTACCCAGGGGGAAGAGAGATGGAGACCACTTCAATTGCACGAAACCAAACCATGGCATCCCCTCAAATCACCCCCCACGCTATGAAAGAGAAACCAGTTCATGAATGCCGCAACATGTCGACTTCTATACATACCCGTCGAGTTTCATGCACAACTCTGTTGACAAGCGCTTTGGAAAACAACATTGCTGTTTCTGAACTTGATGGTTCCCCTGCGTTACCCCTGAGACAATGTCTTTCCCAGCGCTAAGGTCGAAAAGGGGCCAAGGGTTTTGGCAACTGCACACACCCCAAGCCATAGAAAAAGCTTTGCCCATATCAGGCAGCTCTATGTGTACTGGCCGAAGGCTTTATCAAAAGTTTCTCAAACGAGGAACACAATCCTGAACCCTACAGGGATACCCCCACACCCATACCCGTCAGTGTTGCGGAAGGAATCCTTTGAATAAAGCCCTGAAAACCCGGCTGCTCCAAAATCTGTGAAGCCCCCTACGCCAATATGTATTTGGGATCATTAGGGGGCAGGACCATGCTGACAATGTTCGAAGTAGGTAGAATTTGAAGGCATTGGAAAGTCACCATGGCCTGCTCTTTGCACCTACCTTAGGGTGAATATGTAGCTGCCCCAAACCTGGTCTGGAGAATCAACCAGACAAGCAAAGGAACATGAAACGGAAGCTACAGAAGGTTCAATATGAAGGGCAGCGATGCTGCAGGTAGCTGGACCATCTAGCTGGCCTCCTGTTACCCTGTTTGGAGGTTTCTCCAAATTATCCCGATATGACCCTCAAATGAACCCTATACGGTCCTTGCCAAATTCAACTCAGAAATGCTTCTTCCTGATCCTCTGAACCCTTTCCACAAAATTACAAAGCAGGGCTAACAGCGCAGCATGGATAGTTGAAGCTCTGTAGATGTGTGTATAGATATCGTAGATGCGTGTGGGTGTGTGTATGCTGCTACAACTTGTTCTTGATGAATGAGATTCCGCTCGTTTTGAACCTGAACCATCAGAAAACTATTCAAGTTCAAATCATGGTCGTTTGTTCCCGACATGGCTGGCCCCCAAAGTCTTTCCCGCCAAAGCTTAAAAGCCCCAATGAAGCCCCGAACGCTGAATGCCAGCCCCAAGGACGTGCAAAGATCCACCCACCCGGCCAAAAGTTGCAGTACTCCTGGCCCAAGATGGCTCTTTCGTATTGGTGGTATATGTTTCAGAGTCTTTTTTAGGGTTTAAGACGTTAGGGATTGAGTTCACGGTTCTACACCAAGGGATCCTCGACAAAACGGCAAGTGTAGGAATAAGCGATCAGGCAGGGGAAAGGAAGTCTGCTGCATGTGTTGCGTGGTTTGCTTCCTCCAGAGAAGGGCCTTGAAGGATGTTGGGGATTCAGGGTTTAGAGGGCCAGACATGCTACAAGTGGCCTGAGGTGAGGTAGTCGATAAAAGGAAGAACGGGAGGGTTTCAGGAGGACTGTGCATGCTTCAAGGCTGGAGACTCTGGTATCGCTTCAGGGTTGTAAGCCGATGCAGGACTTAGGGTTTTAGGTTTGTGGCTCCAGCTCTAAAGGGTGCTGGTCATTTTTCATCATAAAATCTGAGCCTCAAACCCTAAACCCTAAAATTCAGGCGCTGCGTCCCGAAACCCCACGCTAAGCCATAAACCTTACATCCGAAGCCCTTGTCTCTGGGCCTCCCCGATCCTATCCAGGCCAGACTTCAAGTGAAGACGGCCAGCCACCGGAAGGGTAAAAGTCACAGAAGCCGAGGGAACGGCGTAGCTGGAGTAAGGAAGACCTGGCCGATTGGGAGGTTTAGGGCTTTGGGGAAGCTGAGGCTGCTTTGGTTTGCGCTTTGCAGGGCTTAAGGCTAAGGATTGAGGATGTTGGTGTAGGGTCAGGGTTTGGGTTGGGCTTGGGATCTACGTTTTAGGTAATTCACAACTGGCATTGCGAGTTGAGGGGCAAGGTTAAGGACTTAGACGTACTGACTAATGTGCGTTACCCTGTGCTACAAGCTACGATTTCAGGAGTTCATGCTAAGTCAGGCAGACCTAAACCTAGACCAACATGCGTCGACATGTTCAGGACCTATCTTGCGGGAGACCAAACATACGGCAGTGTTTGCGGCATGGGATTGCTCCATCCACACAAAGTTTAAGGCTTGGGCTTCGGTTTTAGCAAAGAACTGTGAGAGAATCCATAAACCCTCCACACCCGGCACCCTAAGCCCTAAGCCCTAAAGACCAAGTAGACTCATCCAAAAGCATAGCACCAACACTGTAGCCTCAAAGCCCAAACCTTGTCAGTCCAAAGCCCTGACGCGTTAAATCCCTATCCCTTTGCTAAGACCTCGCAGCACATCTCCGTACTCGAAAAGGCAGCAGCTCTTGAAGGTGAACTGAACGCCATTCCAGCACCGGGCCTCAGGCTTGCGTAGAAAACTCATTG